AATTTTTTTTTCAAGACAATATTGTCACTTGACAGCTGTCAACATAAATAAAGAGTTACCACCGTGTTAAAAAATGCTTTTCTGCAATATTTTAAACTTAAGGTAAATAATATTTGTTTCAAATCAGATTAATTATACTTTAAATCAGCTAATATACCTCAAATAATGTTTCAGAAAACTATATTTTTGAAAGATTTTTTAATAAAGAGATTTACATTTTTATAACAGTTTACTAAAAATGGTGCTAAATTAAAAACTTTTTTAGAATTTCAAAACAAAAACTCCTTCCAATCAATTTAAATTTGTTTTGAAATACAGCATAGTATTTTGATTATTGGAAATATTAAATTTAATCTCTCAGCTTGAAATTAAAACTGAAGTAAAAGCTTCAAGAAAGATTTTTCATTCATTTTAAACATTAGGTATTATGCTTTTATGGAGTTACCTGTCCAAAGACATATCTGCTGTAATTGAAAGTTTCACACAATAAGTGATCTTCAGATGGTCCAGAGAATAAAATATAAAAGAATGCAACCTATATACCTAACATATGGAGAGAAAAAAAATTGAAAAAAAAAGTACATCTGTATGTATGGTTAGTTCTGGCAAATGCCAATTGTGTACCGAGGAAAACTTAGTGATAGTAGGATTGGCAAATGATGATAGATTATTAAATTAAAAAAAATAAATAAAAATCTGGACTGGTAGCTAAATGTGCTGCATATTAACAAGTATTTGCTCTGCCATTATCTGTCTAGTTGATTATTTTCTTTTTCCAATTTATTTATAGTCTTTGTATATTTTTTAGTTTTGACCTTCTAACCTTTTTTCCCCAGTGTTATCACCCAGGTTGCTTTGACCTCCATGGGTATTTTTCTTTGCTTAGCCCTCCCTGTCCTTTATGTGGATGATAATCTCTTGTGTTTTTTTTTTTCAATATTGCATTCCCATGTGGTTCATTTCTAGTTAGAGGTTAGATTTTTCATTCTTTCATTCTCAGAACCATCTAAAAATTGTTCATTGCATGAATCTTTTAGACTTTAGATATTTCTCCATTTTATTCCTGCTCTAGCCATGGAAGATTTATTTTATTGACCCATTAGCCTCCTAAGTGACATCAGCAAACTCTTTGAATCTATAACCAACAAGAAGGTTGTTGAACACCTCAATAGGAACAAACATTTCAGATCCAAAGCTGGTCTTAACCGACATTGCTCATAGAATCAGTGAGGCAGTAGACAATAAATTCATCACAAAGACCATTACCTTAGATATATCAAAGGCCTTTGACATGGTGTAGCATTTATATATATAGTAGACAGGCATACTTGGATATGAGTGGCCAGCCATTATATATATATATATATATATATATATAATCACAAGGTGCCTTATACTTGTGACTTCATTCCAGATTAACTTAAGCTTAGTAAAGCTATCATTAATAGCTTTGATCGTTATTAAAAGTACTATAAAATATAAATTTCAATCACCTACAGTAGAATAAATTAACCTTCTCTGCTAGAGTATAGTGATTTTTTTATATGCAGTCAATACCATTGCCCTGTTTGCTTGTTTTAAAGAAAGAAAGTGTACATGTTGAAAGTGATTAAATTTTATGTTTTGTTTGTAATGCTATAAAAGAATGTTTAATGATGACCAAAATGAACCCAATTATTTGTAGTATTATTGTTACTATTTTTTAATTGTATGCTTGCAGATCTGGAGCATTAATATTGCCAGTGGACTACAGAACTACATCAAATCAATCAAGGGTCATAACTCTACCGACAACAAGCTCCCTTCTCCTGACCTCTCTGAGCAAGTCCCTTTAACATCGGAAACCAGCATCAAGAAGTTGACTTCTCTCTCAAAATCAAATGCATCTGACATAACAGACTCTTCTCAAGGTATAGTAACCACACTATCAAATATATCCCAGGGGGTGCTGAGTTCTCAATTAGATCCACTTATCGGTATCAGCATTTCAATGAACAAACATCAGAATACTGATTTTGAGAAGTGGGTCATATTAAATATTTTCCAGCACCCCATTGTATATACATATATTATTATACAAAAGAAACAAACTTCATTAAACAAAATAGCTTTCACCATAAGAGACGGTATCTTAAAACGTGCATAAAATATTTAAAATAGAAGTAGATAGGTTCACTTGTCATCCAGTTCAACTTCTCCTTGGTCTTTTGAACAGGTGTAGAAGTTTATTCCTTGTTTCCTGTTTTGGTTTAGGTTTCCAGTTCCTTCTTTTTCTCTTTCACTCCCAATGTCTTAATGACATTATTGCCTTGCTTGGAGAGAATTAATTAAATATATATATATATATAGAGAGAGAGAGAGAGATTCGAACAAAATAAACAACATTTTTTTTTTTTTTATACCTTTAGGATCCTTTTGACCAACGATTTTTCAAAAGGTATTCATTGGCAATATACAATCAAGACACATTAATAGTCTCCAAGAAATCACAGAGTGGTTTTCAACTGTGAAGAATTCTTAAAAGTTTTGTTTTATTGTCCAATGCTGTGTAGACACATCAATCCAACTATATATATATATATATATGTGTTAAGATATTTTATATATTCATTTTCTGGTGCTATTAAACTCTGTGAAAACATTCTACACATGCCATCACTTATGGTAACATTGAAATTTGCTGTTTCCATACAGCAAACCTCCAGTATTGTTTGATCAAACAGTTAATGTAATTGTCAGTTGAAATTTACAAAAGTTGTTTTATTACAAACCTTTTTTGTTTCCTTCCAAACCTTTTGTTTAAGGTAGTGTGGAAAGTTAACATCTTGCTTATATAATTATTTTCCCTTCAAGTTGCATGTGCTGCACATCTCTGTTATTGTTTGAAGTCTTCAAGTGATGTTATTTTTTTGAGCACCAGTTTAACAGAGAATAATGAAGAGTTATCTTCTTTAAGATCTAGAGAATTCATTCGCTTGAAGCCATTTTTAGTCATTGCTCTGAGAAAACATATACTCGTTTTGATATTTCTGAATGAGATGCATGCCATACATGACATTGATATTAGAGTTTAAATTTGACATGGCTACACATACAAGTGTATTGTATACACTGGTTCCAAGCCAAGAAAATGATGATTTTAGAGTGGCCTAATCAATCAAATCTAACAAGGCTACACATACTAGTGTATTTGCGCACTTCAATGCAAACAAGAATAGAAACACAACTCGAGATTATGTGCCTGGATTGGTGAAAAGCTAAGAGAGGGACCTATTGTACATTCACAATCCTAGCAGATTAAAAAAGAAAAATAAATAATTTATTGACTACTCTTTTATTTTTTAAGTATCAACTTTGATGACATATAATACCCTCCCTCACTCCATTCCAGCAGAGAATATTAAGAAAAATACTGTTGGGTGGTATAAAAAGAGAATTTGAAATAAAATAGATTTTAATTCATGAGTAGGAGGAGTAGTAGTAGTAGTAGTAGCAGCAGCAGTAGTAGAAGTATTAGAATAATAATAATAATAATAAAGTTATGAAATTAGCAATAGGATTGGTAAATAATGATACATTATCTGTCTATTTTTCTGAGATGAGGTATTATGTACACTATTTACATTATTTAGACTATTGTCCTCATCTTTGTCGCCATATTTATTACAACGTTTTGGCCATTGTACAATCCAGCCTTCTTCAGGTGGTTAGAATGTCAAACTGAACCCTTTATTTTGCTCACCGGGGTAGACTGTTCTAGTTCCATGTGCCATGTCTAATGGATGTCAGTTATCAGTTATCTCCTGTTAATTCCCCTCTTCAAGTTCTCCACTGCCTTAACCGGGTATTGACCTCACACTCTTTGGGTCCTGTCACTGGATCTAACCAATGCCTTTATCCACTGTGTGACACCTGAAGAAGGCCAGAGCGTACAACGGCCAAAACGTTGTAATAAATATGGTGACAAAGATGAGGACAATAGTCTAAATAATGTAAATAGTGATGATAGATTATTAAATAAAAAATATATAAATAAAAATCTGGATTGGTAGCTAAATATGCTGTTAACTTTTTGGCATAGATTAAAATAAATTTCTTTTTGAGTATTTTTTTACAAATTTATGAAATTCAGATATTTAGGATGGAAATAGTTGGTCTTGTATGCCATAAAACACTATAATGTCATTTTCTTTTTTGCCTCAATGTAATTTGTATATTTTTTCAGTCACGACTCAGGCCACTCCTGATCCTGTCTTATCCTCTGCTGTACTCGACTTAGCCACTCAGGCTCTTCAAGGCTGTGACAGTTGGGTGTGCAAGGAAAGTTCCTATCGCTCAATCCAGGTCATATTTGGTACTGTACTAGATAGGTAAGTAATTACTTAATTTTACTTTAATGTTCTTTTTTTTTATAGATTTTTTTTTGTAACCACCTGGTCATTAAATTGTAAACAAAATTTTGTGAATGTCCATGATGTGAATGCACACATGCAGTCAACTTAATTAGAATTCTTTTTTTTTAAATTAGTCAATAGTCCTTCAGCCCATTTGTGCAGGATCCTCTGTTTCTTCATGAAAATAACCAGCATTGGTGCATTAACAACATCACTAGGTAAAGAGTTCCACCTGTCTCAGAGCAAAGAAATTGGATCTTGCAACCATTTTCAAGTGTCATTTCATCAATTTGTGTGAGTGACCACACATCCACCTGTTTGAGAATGTGAAGAAATTGTTCACTTTTATTTTATAATAGTCATTCAGTATGCCTCACACAGTTCAGTGAACTGGCATCTTGACTGTAGAGATGGAAGTTTGATTTTGCCTGTAGCTAGGCTGAAATGATATTTTTTTTTTTGTAGTTTGGGCTCCAGATAACAGCTCCATATTTTAGTACTGGTTGAATAAATACATTGTAAAGCAACATTTAATCATACCTATTCTTTGATTATCCTTGTTTACGATCTTGGTAATCTTGGAGACAAATCACTGAAACTAGAATACCCAAATTGTTTTATTCTTTTACTTGATTGAGGAAAACTTCATCTAGTGTGTAAGTGCATTTCAACTTGTCTCTGATCTTCATCACCACACACTTTCCCACATTGTATTTTAGATGCCATAACGAAGTCCAAGATGAAAGTGAATTTAAATCGCATCTGAAAATGATGCACCAAGAAACTGCAAAACCCAAGTGGCATGAACCAAACTTTATTTTCATCATATAAGAATTTATTTAAAAGGAAAAGGTTTTAAAATCTCTAAACATAGAAATATCTTCATGCTTACTCAAGCTTACCTTAATTTTTTTTAATCATTTCACCTCATGCCAGGCAACAAAGCCACTAAGACACCGTATGAAAGAATATAAGAAAGAAAAACATTGTGGTCCAAGAACAATAAAAGAGGAATTAAAAGACAGAAGATAAAGATTGACATCACATTAAAAATTTTTTAAGGTCAAAGTTGAATGAGAATCCAGAAGAGTTCCACAAGTGAGAAGAAGAAACTGTTAGCATAGAACTCCATTATATCGAGCCATTTTGACTGTAAAATGATAAGATCTTATCGCCAATCTAATACTGCACTTAAATTCATAGAGTCTAAGTACCACAGAGGAAAGTTCATCAGAACAATTACCATGAAAGTATTTATAGAAAAAGCACAGGGAAGCTACATTATGGCAGTGAGAAAGTGACTGAAGTTGAAATGCCAGGTCTTCTTTGGATTATATCAAGCACCTCAAACATATAGCAAGAGCACCAGACTATATGTGGCAGCAATATTCGAAGTATGGATGAAAGGTAGACTTGTAAATATGTACGATAGATTCTGATGAGAAAAATTGTCTAGCACAACACAGGGAAGCAGCTTTCCTAGCAGCAAGCCTAGCAATCAATTCAATATAATCTGTCCACTTCATGTCAGTGGAAAACGTTAGCCCATCGAGAAGGAACAATGAGTCACTCTCCAGCAGGCTATCACTAGCCATGCTGATGGGAGGAGAGAGTTCCACAAGTGAGAAATGCAAGAAAAGAAACTGTTAGCATAGAACTTACGGTTGTATCTATCGAATTCAACTGTAAAATGGTGAGACCTTGTTACCAATCTAGTACTGTGCTTAAATTCATAAAGTTGTAAATTTTCATAACTTTATTATTATTATTATTATTATTATTATACTACTCATGAATTAAAATTTATTTTATTTCAAATTCTCTTTTTATTTTATTTCTGAATTTTGGAAGAGGAAATTCATGATACTCTTTATCTTCAACTGTTCATGTGGCTAATTGAATGACAAAATTGAAAAATTCTTACGTTACACATTTTGTCTTTTGAGAGGATTTCTTCAGATTGATGGAATCTTATATATGCAGGGAGAACAAAATATAACAAATACTGGTTAAAATTCTATAATTTCAACTTAATACACTTTTCATTAAAAATTAAATCATTAATTTATTAAGGTGAAAATGTATTGAAAGTGCACAAATTTCAAAGTCTTCTATGGTAAATTTACATCGTAGGATCATACAACATTTCTGTTATGAAATGTGATTTTCTTCCTATTTTCTCAGTCGAGCAGTAGTCATTAATCTTGCATACCCTGTTCTGCCCCCCAACCCCAGTTGGGTACTTATATAGTCTCTATCCCTTAGCTATGCTAATTAGACAATCATTTTCATATCACTAACATTTCCTTTCTTAACAATGACTGATTTTGGTTTTTTATGGTTTATCAGCCCTTTGTGGGTTATTTAAAGCCAAAACATATTTTGGATTGTCCTTTCCTAACAAAACTACTGCTATTACAACATGGGATATATAAAAACAATAATGATAAAGCTAAAACATAAGTTATAGAAATCTGAATGAGGTTTGCAAGGCAAGATACACTGGACACCAAAAATCTTAAAATTTAAATCTAAAGCTGAGCACCCTTGTATCAAAATTGTTTCTCACTGTAGAAATTTTGTATTTTTCCAGCCAATACAGCATATATAAGATTCCATTGATAAAGCCATTATTAGTCTGAAGACATCCTTTCGAGAGGTGAAACACTTAACATTAGGAGTCTTTTCCATTTTGTCATTCAGTTACCCACTATTAGTCTGATATATGTATTTTTATATCATATCTTTCATATATAAAATACTACTAATACATCATGGCATGACTATTGGATTATCTGCTATCCATAATAGCCCATCTAATTTATTCTTTGGTCCTTCACAGGCAAATGTGTCATAAAGATTTAAAGTAAAATTCTCAGTTCAAACACTGACAGAAAGTTTTCCTTGTTCAATATCCTTCAGAGAAAAATAATGCAGAAGAATAAGAAGCTAATAGATTTTATTCTAGAAGTTGAGAGCTGATATAAAATTCTATATTATCAAGTAGACTATTACCTGTTCTATAAATATGCTTTAATGTTGTGAATATATTTTTGACGTCATGGGTAATATTCAGATAAATGTACCTACCTAATTCAAAAATAATATTATATATGAATGGAAGAATGTGTTTTATCAGCTATTAAAGATGATAAGGATAACAGTAATATTAGCTGTTTCCTTATAAGGAAATTGGCTGACCAAACAGCCAATGAAAAGGTGTTATGATGTTATTTTTCATTTCAAAAAATTTTGGATAGTACTTTGTATACAATATTATACCAGAGAAATTTTTTATTTTATAAAATACTTTTTTTGAAGTGATGATTTTATTTTTTTTCAGGTGTCTTCAGCAAAAACTCGACAGAATGACATCACGATCACAATGCCTCAACTACTTACAGCTCCTACGTGAAAAAATCTGGCCAAATGGTAAATTATCGATGCAACCACCTCCCCAAAAGAGCCCTGCTGAAATCCAGGCTACCAAAGAATTGGCGCATCAATGTCTCAAGGAATATTTCCCACGTAAGATTTTAAGAATACATTTTTTTTAAATCAGTTTTACTGTGTAAATATAATATTACAGCCTTATCCAGTAGTCTTGAAACTTTTCAGTAACCATGTCACATTATATAAACAAGGGAATACTAAAAAGTTCTTAGTCTGACCAAGAAATTTTGTTTTTGTAATTGATGTAAGTACAAGTATATATTCAAAATAGTGTATGAAGTGAATACTATTAAATAGCCAACTTAAGGTAGGCTATTTAATTGTACCCAACTTGGAGGGTATATAACGCTAAAGAAGTAACAGACCAAGATTTTGTAGTGGGTGGGGGAACAATTTCTTTTTCTGTTTATTTCTTGAATGTCAAGTTTTAGTCAACATTTCTGATCTGGTATTTAAATCCCTTCTCTTCCATACAAAACCTACAAAACCTTTTACCATTCCATGGGACTAGTCACTCCACATTGTAAAAACCTACTTGCTTTCCTATTTTAGATGAAACATTGTTAGTTATTAATTTTTCTATTTCTATTCTTTTATTTTAATTTCATGAGCATTTTTTTTTCATCCTAACTTTCTGAACATCATTTTGTAATTGTTAGTAAGCATTATAAATCAGAAAAGTGTGGGGGTGGTGGATGGTGTAATGGATAGAAGTGCGGAATGAGAAATTGGAGTCAAGTTCGAATTTTAGTTGAATTCATTACATTCACAAAATATGCTAAAATACCATTGGGAAAAGTATGAATCTCTTTTCCCCAGCTATGGGTTAAATAGTAGGAATTGTATCTAAAAAAATTATTATCTCCCAAAAAATTCTTAATACTGTCATTATTCACTAACACAAAAAAATAATTATTATCCAAAATATGTTTTAATTTTAAATAACTCACAAAGGGTTGATAAACCTTAAAAGAAACAAAAAAAACAAAATCAATGAATCAAGCAAAAAACAGAAATGTGGGTTAACTGGTAAGGCAGTTGTTGCACTAAAACAGGCCCTGAGGACGTCTTGCTGAGTCTTAGTCTTCATTATCAATCTATGAACGGTGATCTTAGAGTTGCAATAAAGAATGATAGAAATTAGAAAAGAAAATGAATGTACTTCTCTACATCTTTGTTGTTCTAGCAATGTCACTCAAGTCATCATTCTACACAACACAATCTTCTTACCCACCACCATTACTTCATCCCAGGCCAGACCAAACTATTACCTTTGTCCCATTATAGTTGTTATATTTGCATACACATTTCATACAGTTTTCAACTTGGTATCTATGCTGATGACACAACCATTTATTCCTATCTTAATAGTAAGTTTACTACAGTCAGATTGGCAGCTGATTTCAAAAATGATTTACATTCTGTTGTTAACTGAGGCAAGGAACGGCTTGTTACTTTTAACATCTCTAAAAACAAAACCGCTCCTTTTTATTTGTCTGAGCAAACCCTTTTTATCATCCATCAGCATGACTGATGTTAACATCCTGCAGAGTAACTCATTGCACCCTCTACAACTAATGTTTTCCGCTGACATACAGTAGAAAGAGTATATTGAATCAGTTGTTAGGTCTACAGCTTGGAAAATTGGTTCCCTGTGTCATGCTTGACAATTTTTCACACCAGAATCTATCTTACATATTTATAAGTCTACCATTTGTCCTTAATTTGAATATTGCCACCACATCTAGTCTGGTGCTCTCACTATATATTTAGAGTTTCTTGATGAAATCCAAAGAAGAATCTGCAATGTTCTTGGTCTTAACTTGGCATTTCGGCTCAGTCACTTTCCCACCACTGTAATGTAGCTTCCCTGTGCCTTTTCTATAAATACTTTCATGGTAATTGCTCGGATGAGCTTTTCACTATGGTACCTAGTCTTTATGAATTTAAGCGCAGTACTAGATTGGTGGCAAGATCTCATTATTTTAAAGTTGAAATGGCTAGATGTAACCATAACTTCTATGCTAGCAGTTTCTTGTCTCACACTTCTTGCTTGTGGAACTCTTTACTTTGATCTTTAAAAATTTAAATGCAATGTCAATCGTTATCTTGTCTTGTTAATTATTGTTTTTTATTATTCTCTCTCTTTAATGTTTTTTTTTCTCATATTAATGCCCTTGTGTTTTAGTGGCTTTATTGCCTTGCTTGGGGTGAAATTATTTTAAAAAATACACTAAATATAACAACTGTTATTGGACAGAGATAGTAATTGTAATTTAACCGATTAAGGGGAGACAATTCGCAACAAGCTTCATGAAATTTCAAAAGTATACTAATAATATTTGATTATATATACTTGATGATTGTCTGTTTTAAAGATCTGTTATGTTAACATTCTCAAATGGTTATTTTATTTTTTTTGTCCTCTTATGTTAATTTTCTGTTTACTCCAAAAGGAATTTTATATTTTGCAATTGGAGAAGATAATTTAAATCATGGGATTGTTCAACTGCTGGCTGCTATCCAGTACAAGAAACTTAACAGGTAACAACAAATACAAATCATTTATTCAGTAATTTTTTATTTAGATGATTGTCTTTTTTTTTAAACGGATGCTTACAGAGTCAGATTTAATAATAGGTGAAAGCAGGCTGTAGTCAAAGGTCCTGTATACAATCTATTGTAAATAATGGAATTCATAATCTAGTGATCCTTAGTCTCCTGCCAAAAGTGCTAAAATTCACCTGTAATTTAATTAAGGAAAGTGCGACAGTGAAATTCAAAGGCACATTAGGGTAGCTGAAGATGCATTCCAAAAGCTAATCAGAGAATTGAGAAATGGAAAAACATTGTTAGAAAAAAATACTGAACTGTTACACAATAATTGCCTCCTATATTACAGTGAATGCTGGATAATCTCCTCAGAGATGAAGAAGAGACTTGAAGCAACAGAAATGTGATTCTACAGAAGGATGATGAGGATAACATGGACCAAATATATGAGCAACAACAGACTTTTATAGAAAATGGAAAAAAGGAAACTTATAATTAACATCAGTAAGAGACAGTTGAAATATCTAAGGCACATAATTAGGAAAGAGGACTTGGAAGATATGATACTAACAGGACAGATTGAAGGCAAGAGGGACAGAGGAAAATAACGCATAACATAGTGAGCTTGAGTAAATGGATGATGGAACAGGATTTAAGAGAAATAACAAAAAGATAAAAGTATCACAAAGGACAGGAAATTGTGGAGAACCATGATCGATTATATCCTCAGAGGACACAACACAAAGAAAAAGAAGAAAAAAAATCAGGGGTCTACCTAAGCAAAAATAATGTGTAAACTGAAAGTGTAAAATTGTCATCATTCCCTACCACCTTCATCAAATTAAATTTGTATCCAAAAAAGCCCCACAGAAACTTTGGACTTTGTCTGTAAGATAATATTTGAACATGTCCATGAATGTTGAGTGTAAACATCTTCATTAATTCCACATTTTTGTAATTATATAAAAAAAATCTAAATTTAAAAAGGAAAATACAAAGTTTTACTTTAATTGCATAGATAAAAAAGATAATGAAGTTTTCTTTCTTCTGATCAGATGTTATTAAATTTGTGTTTCCTAAATCTTGTAGCCCAGTTGCTTTAATCTGACACTCAGGGCTTACAAACATAGATCACAAGAAAAGCACTAAATAAAAATACCTATTACTAACTATTACTATTAGTATATGTATCTCGAGAAAACTTAATGCAATGCTGTCAGGCACTCCGTCTCCTGGTAGGGTCACCCATGGCAGTAAGGAATCCAAAAAGGGACCAGATTAAACATGATCCAACACGTTGTGGATAGTCATGGTGATGTTCTACATACAAGAACAAATTGGCAGCCCAATGCAAGCTGTCATCATGAACCTGTCTATCAAGCCCTGGTTTGTCACAGCAGATGGTGTCAGCTGATGTGTGTGTGTGTGTGTGTGTGTCATAAAGTGGTGACCCATGGACCACCTCAAACAATTTGCAACCAAGGCTTTCATGCTCAAAAACTTTTCTTTTCCTTCTCAAAAGAACTAATTGGAGAAGAACAGATAATGAAAAAATATCCCTTGAAAACACCAAAAAACAAATAGAAGAGATGACGAGAGCCCAAACAAAAGCCAGTGCTCTCCATCCCCTGAACACTCATACCCTACCATGTGGTGGCTGCAGATATATCTTAAGAGCCAACCTAGGACTTGTTTCATGCAAAAGGAATGTCTATGCGCACCCCAATACTTGATTAGTTCTGCCTATCATTATTACTGCATTTGAAGATACCACTATTTACAGCCTGTTATTATTAAACAGAATATAACAACCAGCCAAGATTGAAAAAATCTACTAAAACTAAAGAAAGATTCTGCCTCTGGCAGGACACGAACCTGTACCCACTTTTTCATTAGGGAACTTAATAGCAACTGAAATACATGTAGTCACTAAAAATAATGTTTATAGCAATAAGATATATATATATATATATATATATATGGTGGATTCTCCCGTCGAGTTTAACATATTAGGTTCCGACAACCACAAACTAATTATCTGCATGCCTTTGACAGGCATGACTTTTGAGACCGACTCAAGAATTGCACAAAAGACTACAAACAGTATAGGAGAATGTATAGTATCCAAGTGTAGCAAAAACACTGTTAGATGTCTTATTTTGATTTCTCATTTCATGTAGTCAACTGATGTTTACTTCTCAGTGCAGCCATATCAATGTTGTACATTTTTAGCTCCAATGTGACCAGAGCTGTTTTTCTTTCTGGTGCTAAGTTGTTGTCCTGGAGAGTTCATACATTCCAAGTGCCAAGATGAAGTTAATGTTGTTTCATATATGGGGTATGATAAAAAAAGTATCAGAGGTAACAGAGCTAAAGTATGCAGTGTGAAGCTGCTTGGCACAGATTGACCTTGAAGTTTTAACATTCTCACCCACTTCTGTTGTTTATTTTAGTACTTGGAAGGAAAGTGTTTAGAGTGTGGTTGTCTCACCACACTACAGAGGTTCCATCAGTGACCATAACTTGTGCAGTAGTTTCTGACCAAGCACAATGTTAATCCTCAATGAATCAATTGTATCTGCAATAAGGTAATCCTCCTGTTATTCTGACTATTGACAACTGAACAAATGAAACATTTTCAATATGGCTGCCAGCATTTTATAGAAGCCACCACATGGTGGCACTAAACAACAACCAAAAGACAAGGCCAATAATTACATTAACACACAACATTCCCCATGTCAGATAACCACCATATTCCCCAGATCTCACTCCTTTTTTCCTCTTTAAAAATCAAATATCACTTGAAAGGAACAAGATTTGAAGATGTCAAGGAAATCCAAAAGAATGTGACAAGAAAGCTACTTGCTATCCCAAAAAAAGACTTCCAGGATTGCTTCTATCAATGGAAAGGACACTGCACAAAGTATTTGGCTTCAGAATGGGACTTCTTTGAAGGAGATTAAATGCTGAATTGATATGTGTTGTAGTTTTCTTTTAATAGCACCCGTCTCAATATTTTGGGATCAGATCTCATTTATATCTTGTACTATGCACACACACACAGAGAAAAGTTTTCAATCTGATACTGACCCAAAACTTTTTCCATATGATTAAAAATAAGATTTTAGGGAGTAATCACTTCTTGAAGAAGTATGAACATTTAATATTCCCTCATCTCAACTTTCTGATACCAGTAAACTCCTTTAAGTAATGTCAAAGAATATACTGTTAGAAAATGCTTAATACAAGAGGTTAATAATTTGGTGGGTGGGATAGAATTTTCTCAGTATACAATAAGTGGTGGAGTCGGTCATATACAGTTCTACAGAAGGATAATAAGAATACCATGGACTGAGCAAGGGACCAACAACAAAGTTTTAGCGAAAATGGAAACAAAAAGGACCCTTATACTTAAAAAGAGAGAGTTGAAATTTCTAGGGGACATAATGAGAAAAGAGGGCTTGGAAAATTTGATACTCACAGGACAGATTGAAGGCAAGCCGGATAGAGGAAAACAATGCATAACCTACCTAGCAAGCTTGAGTAAATGGATGATGAAACAGAGTTTAGGAGAGATAACAAATAGATAAAATTTGTTATAATGTACAAAGGACAGGAAATTGTGGAGAACCATGATCACCAACGTACTGAAGGGACAAGTACATGGAAGAAGTAGTAAAATAAAGTATCTATTCTCTAAGGAGGGGGGCACAAAATTTCCTCAAATGAATAAATGTCCCCCATTCTAAGAGTAAGTACTTATGCATGGTTTCTCAAGGATTAAAAAAAAAGGTCTACCATGATGGTTAACAGGGAAATGAGTGGATACGTTAAATAAACTATTTTCTTCTAATTGCCTTTCACCTACATTTAGCTGTTACCCTTATTGTCAGCCTTGCTAGATAATATCTCTGTGTGTTTATATGTATCCCTAAAACTTACATGTGTAAACTAGTCTAATAATTTTTTTTCCTTTTTTTTTTTTCTTTCAGACATTTTATCTTTTGTCTTGTCGATGCCCTTTTTTTGCACCTGTTTCCTGAGGTGAAAAACAAATCCTTTCAGCAGAACATTCTCAGGTCTTACATGAAAGAAAATAACAAGTCAACCACCCATTCTCCCACTGTTGAAGGTTGATAATATGACCAGTTTCTGTAAGGTCCAAAAAAACATTCATCTCCTACTGACCATCAATCTCAAGACCATGTGCTCCTCCTTCTTGCCCTAACCCTTAAAATGTTCTTAATTTTCTCACAACATCTTTACATAAGGAAAAACCCGGTCTACTGATCAGCTTCATAATTTACCCCCAAAATTTAAAAAAAATGGCGGTGGGTAGCTTTTATTGTCAATACTTCAACAGATCACTGCTGTGATGCAAAGGTGGATGAGAAACAACTCTACATTGGACAATCAATTATATATGAACAGATCGATATGTATGTTTGTATGCGTCTGTGTGTCTATATACATATATGAATGTGAAGAAACTTTTTTTATATCACTTGACTGGTAATCAAAACTGAAGAAAGCAGTATACTGAATCTAAGATGCCATAAAGATGAATTCTTTATAAAATTACGACCTTATCTTGAGG